ATGCCATAAATTCTCACTGAATTTCTAAGATGTGCCAGCTCTTCTTTTTTTGTAGATGAGAAAACTAATACTGAGAGGGTTTAGATACTTTTCCCAATATCTTTGAACTACTAAGTCCAAATTGAAATTCGAATTTGGGAGACACCAAATTCATAAACATACCACTCCAGGCAAAGATGTGTCCAACTTAAACAGTCTAAATTTATATAAAAGTAATACAAGAATTAAAAAAAATATTGTTTGAAATTAAAAAAAATATTGTTTGAAAGTAAAACACTACATGATGCTTCAAAATATAGAGATCAATAAAATGTGATAGAAACAATGAGTGATTACATTAAGGGTAAACCAGTAACACCCAGTGGATTAATATCATTTTTTCAAATTGCAAGACTACTATCCTGTTGGAATATTTATAAATGAGGCATGAATGATGTTTATAATAGTAAGATAAAGCTCCACCTTAGGCATTGAGCTAGATGAGTTCTAGGTGTATTAATCAAAAGTACAGTAGAAGAAAAGAACACAGACTAATGTGTAGGCAGAGTCCTTCTGGAGTATGGAAAGACTCAGCTTTGAATCTCATAGAAGGGTCACTCTCACCATCACCATCATCATATATGCCAAAGGTCTTCTACTCTCACTCCCAGGTGACATTTGGAAATGTTTGATGACATTTTTAGTTGTCACAACTGGAAGGGGATGGGAGCTACTGGCAACAAATGAATACAGGTCAGGGTTGCAGCTAAATATACTTCAGTGCACAGGACGGCCCCTCAACAGAGAACTATTGGGTCCAAAATGTTAATAGTGTCAAGGTTGAAAAATTCAGCTCTAAGGAAATAACCATTTACATGACTCACTTCTTTTGCACAGGAAAATGTTAGAAATGAAAGATAACTAGAGAAGGTGACATTTTGAAAGGCTAACCAGGAAAAAAATTCAACCTTGAAATTAAGTACTTCTGTTTCCATAATGAAAACCAAGTTTTTAGTTGGACATAGGAATACATAACTTGAAAGATTATTTTCCTAATTTATACTTTAAGATAAGCTTTACAAAGACATTTGAATTAAGTTACATTTATTTAAAAATAATAAAACTATATAATCAAAACTCTGTTAAAACCTCCAGGAGAAATGGTTCTTCTAGACATATCCAATGTCATTCTGCAGATAGTTATTCCATGTGAAGACAGTATCTGCTTTCTGTTCACATCATCCTTCCTAAAGACAATGTAAGTCCTGTATTGGGTTAAGAAGAGAAATAATGAACATGTAGCAACAGACTGAAAAGCTACAAGTCTATTGGATCAAATCATCTTTGGTAAACACTATCACTTAATTTACAATTTTGTATTATAACCAGGTATCTATACAACAAATGTATATTAATACTCAGCTAGACTCTCAGTCATTCAGTGATATGACCACAAGTTAAAATAAAAAGAAAGAACCTACAATTTTCTAAGTAAAAATAGAAGGGAAGGAAAAAGGATAACGGCCTCCTATGGCACAAAGTAAAAACATGACCTACTCAAGGATGGCGTTTGATGTAGTTGGGTGCCTACGAGAAGTCAATGAGACAAAGGGAGCTCCAGGGTCTAGGAAGACCAGTGGCCTGACTATAGGTACCAGGAGGATATCTACTCCACCAGACAAACCGTGGCATCCAGAGAGGAGAGCTGATCTATTAGACCTTTACTATGAAAGGCAAGAAGTTATATTATGTATTTGGGGTGTCCTTGACACTTGGAAGAGCATAGTTTTGAGGAATGAACAAGCAAGTAGGCTTCTGGGAGCAAATGAACAGGCAGGCGGACAGGAGGATTGCAACTTCTAGAAGGAAGCCAGACTGGGAAGAGTAAGATACATCACTGGGGAAACTCCGGCATAGGAACCCAGAGCCAGGTACAAGGTAAGGACCCGATTTAGACTAAAGGCAGAAGACTAAACATGGGCCAGCTCCAGGGGTGACCCTGACTGTAGACTGGGGGTCTTTCTCTTCTGCCTATCTCATGGAAAGAAAAGAAAGACCTTCAAAAAAGGCCATGGGTCTACATAGCCCCAGCTGTGTGGAAGGATCTGACTTCTGGAAGTAATATTCCTCTTGATTTGACACTATGATGTACCCACACTTATGCAGAAAGGTTTGTGACCCATTACGTACGGCATCCATCCTCAGACTTGCTTGTAGATTTTAAATACGTAGGTGCTTGAATAAAGTAGATACTACCATCTGATGGCCACTAATACCTTGTCTCCTAGTTCTTTGGCCTTTTTGCCTTTTAGAATTTGCAATTATACAAAAAGATAACTTTACATTCAGTTAGTTTGGCATTATCCACTTGCTGAAGTGGATATTATATAGAATTTTACTAGATAATAATGTTTTATCTTTCTTTAGACCCAAGGAACTAGAAACGTACATTCAAAAGAAACAGTCAAAACCTACACACATATACATATGCATATTTGTACTTGTCCGCAGGTACAGAAGTGAGTGCACACAATAACAAATGTAAATAAGGGATTTTGTTTCTCCATAAGCAGAGACTACTTAAAGAACAGAGAAGAAAAGCAGTACATGTGGAAACATCTACTGTTAGTGACCCTGGAATTATAAAGTACAAAGAATATTCTGAAAAAAAATGGTTTTAAGTTAAATGCTATGTGCTAGCTAGGGTTAATAAAAATGTTTTGTGAAAAAATAAGTAGAAAATAGACCTTGGATTCTAGGCTGACAGCTATATTATCTTATATATGACAACAGGAATTCCAAGCAGAGTTAATTAAGATTAAACAATTTTAGATAAAGGACTTAACTAGGAAAAACATCTCCACCTCACCCCCTTGCCCAGTGGCAGTACTGCAGAGAAATGCGTTGCTGTTTTTGTGGTTTTGAGGGTTATCTAAGATAATGGTTTCTTAGTATGATTAGGTTCTGACATATAAGTGAATTCTTCATGATAATTTATCAGTTCCAAAATTGACATGTTGATATAATTGAATTTATGTATATGTGAATTCTTCAAAACAATTTATTAATTCAAAAAAGGGATAATCCAGAAACAAAAATCTTTCCAGAAAAGAAAATGAGATACATCAGAGATAAACTTCTGAATGTTAGAAAACTCTTCTATACTGTGATGATTTGGGTTTAAAGTTAAAGCAAAATATGCAAGTTTTTAAAAGTAACATAATCTACTCACGAGTGAAAGTTCAATGTCTTTTTGTACTATTTCTCCTAATGTTGAAGATGAAGTGTGTTTTAATGGGTCTGGATCAGTAGTAGAACAGATCTTGCATTGTATTTGGATTTAACTCCAAATTAGGAGGGAAAAAAAGAGTTCAAAATACATTCTTTCCCCGACTCCCTCCTTGTGTAAGGTTTGCTTTATTCTACACTTTCCTACTTTCCTGTTTTGGGGCTAAAATATATTTTTTAGTGTGTCCAGATGGCCAAAAGATGGCATCATTTCAGAATCTTCCACACCACTCCCTTTTGAGAGCATGGCCACCCTACCAGTTATTCATAGTTCCAACCCCTATTCTGCCACCCTGTACCCTCCCTCACAAAGAGATACCCAGAGAGGTCTAGATGGAGCATAAATCCCAATTTTTATGCTGTTCAGTCTACTTGAGGCATGGCCTCACTCTTACTGGAAGTTTAAAGTAAATTTGAACCAGCTGGTCAGTCTTGCTGGGCTTAATCTGCTCCTTCCTAGGGGACAGATGACTTCTGTATGTGTCCAGTTCCCCTGTAACCCCTGCTGTGACTCAGTTAAATATTGAGAGGAAAAGACATGAACCAGGGACTTGGGTTGAATGTAACTGTCAGTACTGACCACAGGCCATGCAGTTAGTGATTCTGTGGTAGAACACTTATTTATAAAAGAAGCTCTCACAGTCTCCAAGCGCTTTTCTAGTTATCTTTCAAGTACTTTTGCCAACATTAATAATGTTTCAGGTGACTTTATCTGATTCAGATTCACTCACACTGAGTCTAAAAGTAATTGGAGAGTTTTACAATGTAAAATACATTATTAGAAGATAAAATCAAAACTTAACTCTCAAGGCACAATGATGGAGAGTTTTATTATTCAAGTAATCACTCTAAGGAAAGTATGCACATGATGAAAATTCTACTAAAAGTAGCCATCAGGCTTCCAAGATCTTGCCATGTAGTTTTGGGAGGTAAGAAATCTGGCACTTTCTAGAAATAGGGGTGGAGGAATTAGCCCAGCTGTAAGGTAGGTCTCCACACAAGGTTAAGGGGGCCTACCAACTTTTAAAGGGCTTCTCCAAAGCCCCACACCATGCTCTCTGCTTCCATTCTTTTGGCTATCCTATCTGCAAAGGAAGCTGGGAAATGAAGGTTTTTAGCCAAACACATTGCTGCCCCTGTTAGGTTTAGAATTATCTAAATTAGAGGAAAAAGGAGAAAGATAGTGAATAAGCAATTAGAAGCTTCTGCCACACTGATCTGTGAGCTGGGCAGAAACGGGTTTTAGGGTGCAGTAAGTATTGCTGTCACTCAAAGTAAGCAGGCAATGACCCTTGATTTCTGGGTCTGGGGTCTATTTAAAGCATGACCATACCTAGGCTACAAATCAAGAGAAGAGCTGGTAAAGACTCAGTAATCCTCAAAGTGCTTCATGAATGAACTGGGCTTGGATATGTCAAGGATAGTTCAAGCAGGGAAAACAGATTTTATTCCCTAACTGCTGATAGTAGAATGAGCTGAACCCCATTCTACTTTGTGCAGAAGTAATTTATTTGAAAATAAAAAAAAAAAAAAGGAGCAAAGACAGGAGCTGAGCCAGGGCTCTGTAGAGTCAGAGAAATGAAGGGTGACAGAAAGGTTGGTCAGCATAAATGCATTTAGACCAGCTGTGTTTGTGAGCTGACAGGTATTGAGGTGAGGATTCCATTCTCTTTCAGAGGCTGGGAGACAGTCCCTTGCCTTCCAGATGAGTACATAAAAAAAGAATGGCTTTCAGGTCCCTGAAGAAGATACTTCTGTGTTGTAAGTGATACATGTTCAAAATTCTAAGTCCCCTTCAATAAATGCTGTAAAAAGGGAAGGTCAGAGGTCTATGTCAGGTGTTGATCAGAGCAAACAGTTAATTTTCCTGGTAGACTAGAGTGTTCTTAGATGGGTGTTTAATTGAGGACAGGGGAAGGGAGGGATGTCATGTGAGGGGCACTGTCTTGTACTACCGGAAGCCATGGTGGAGCTCAATCAAGTCTTTTAGTGCAATTTGGAGTTGTTGTATGCAAAGAATTTCTCATTTCTTAGAAGCTGCAAAATATGTTCAAACTAGGAAACCCAGGTAAAAGCCCAGGCCTAGAGATATTTAAGATTTAAAGGATGATGCATCAGGAGCTGTGTGGAGCAGGACAAAGAGGGTAGAAGGAGCTCAATTCTAGATTTTAACTCCTGGAGAGAATAGAATGCCTAACCTGGCTTGTCTTCCTCTTCATGGGCTGATCGTTTTGGTGGAGCTGATCCTGCATATTTCAGTCTCCAGGGACTGTGGCTGAACAGAGCTAAGACTGGTATAAAATATTCTAAGCAGATTTTCTTTAATCAAATGCATACCATTTGCCCAGATGTGTTCAGGTTCTTGGTACTCGGCACCAAAGTTAAAACAAGATTAAACAAGACTCAACTGTTCTAAGCCCATGCCCTCTCTCTGGCCCTCTCTCTTACTTTCTTTTGTTCACATCCTTGAATTCTTGTGTTACCTAATCTTTCAGATGGCCTTGTGCTTTCAAAGACATAGTGATTATTGCCCAAGCACCACCCAACTGCTGCTACCCTCCTATCTCAGCAAAGTACTGCCTCTAATTGCTTCCAGGAGCCAAGGCTCCCCTGAATAGGAAGGCAGACCCCACCACAAACAGCTGTTCCAGTGAATAAGAAAGGACCCCTTCTCAGTTCTTTCTAATTGTTCTCAGGGCACCGTCCATGAGATGGAAGCTATGAAGATGATATGCCAGAGTTTCCGGGAGCATTTAGAGGAAATTGAACAGAACCTTGTGGGACAGCAAACACTCTTTTGCAAGTACATGTCAGAGGAGGAAAGGTAATTATCTAAGGGAGCCATAAAAGTAAGTGTCAGCTTAGACACCTGGAGCAAGGGAAGGTAATCAGGGCAGGACAGGACCAGTGAGCACCCTGCTGCAGAGTCAATGAGAAATCAGCCAGTGTTTTTTTTGCTTTCATGATCTTACTTTTGCTTTCTCAGTGGAAGCTGTGAGACTCATTCACCAGGCAGAAACTCTTCTTCTTTAAGGCCAGGGCTATTTGAGGAGGTAGGAGAGGGGCAATCAACTGAGAGGAGGGAGGATGCCGGCAGGATATCTTTAATCAATGAGAATGGGGCTCTTGGGAAAGTACAGAGGTTGGAGGCTATTAGAATTTAGAAAATCTGCATTATTTTCAAACATATTTTTAAAAAGTCCCCAGAACGGATGCACCCTCATTGCCTGGGGACTACAGGGTGGGAATTGAGTTTCACTGTAAAGAGACAAGACGCTTCCTATTGTGGAAATGGACATGTTCTAAAACAGTTGTTGGTGACAGTTATGCAACTTGATACATTTGTTACAAAGCACTGAATTGTATCTCAAGCCAGGCAAACTTTATGGTAAGTAACTTAGACCTCAGGAGAGTTGCTTTTGAAAAAGAAAGCGGATTGAGGATGTAGCACAGTAGTAGAGTATGCATCTAGCGTGCTGGAACCTTGGCTTCCATCCTCAGCACTGCAGTACAAAAAGGCAGCATGACCTAGTAACATGTCTATGCTGTAACTGAATCAAATAAAGTAGATGGCATGCCCTTTAAAGAAATTTCAAAAACAGGACCTACACTGTAAGAGCGGGACAATGGAAAATGGCACCTGGAGTGACTGTTCAGTTTGGTTGTGTTCTTCTGTTTCCCTGCAGGGAGGAGGCGGAGCAACTTCAGACTTTACGTGAGGCCCTAAGGCAGCAGGTGGCTGAACTGGAGTTTCAGTTAGGACATCGGGCCCAGCAAATCAGAGAAGGGATTCTCATGGTACGGCACAGGCATAGATGGGATTTTATCCAGCCAGCCATGGCGGGGGGGGGGGCATCCAGTGGGAAGCCTGGCTGTGCAGTCATTTCAGACTCTGAGGTTATGTGCCTATGCTGATATTTTAAGCATAAGGACACACACCTTGCTTTCTCAAGTCCACAGATAGCTGGTGGTGAGTCAGGATTGGAACTCAGTTCACTTACCTGCAAGGCCAAACTTCACCCTGGGCCGTAAATAAGAGAGAAGTGTTACTGACCATTTTCTACATGAGAACAAAAACCACGAGCTTGATAAAGCTTGAGTTTTGAGTCAATAGAAATTAAATCACTGCTGTAATCTGCTGGAAAGAGCCCGTTCCAGAGAATTCACATCTCATGAATGCCTTTCTTCAAGGTCTGAGTTATGTATTGGGTGCAAGCATGATGTGTCACCTACTGTGTTTGTCCTCATTTTCCTTTCAGCAGCTGGAGCTCCTCACAGGGGAGATGTCTGAACATTGCACAAGTCTGCAACAATACAGCTGGATGGAAGAAAATGATGGCCAGACTTCAGATGCTGGCACCCAGCCCACCGTCGCCCCTGAGCTTGCCTTTCCTCCCAGTGGTGGCCACCAGGTTCCCTGTGTAGGCACGACACAGATGGCTGTCCTTGCTGCACCTCACTTGGAGACCAGCACCAGGATGTCTCTCTTGTCACCAGCTTGGGCAGAATCAGATCCAGCCTGTCTGTTACATCCTGTTGAAGAAAAGGATGCAATGTCCTCCTCTAGATCAGAGCTCATTTGATGACCTTTGTGAAAAATGTAAAAGTCAAGAACAATTGTAGCAAGGACATCTAGATTCCCCCTTGCAAATGTCTACCAACCTTCCACCAGTTATATTTTTCATAATCTACTCTAGGATTAAAGTTGGGAGAATTCAGAATATTTGAATATGCATTCATTATGGAACAACTAAACATCTATTATATACCTGAGACAGGACGTACAATGCTATACAGGTTCTTTGTCACTAGAGCTTGATGGGAAGACAGAATATAAACACATACATGTATTTATCATGAAAAATGGGGAAAGTGCTTTGAAGATGATAACCAGGTTTTACTAATGGTGTCTGATTCAGATCAGGTGTCAGGAGGGTCTGACCAGGGAAGTGACAAAAGACAAGGGAAACAGGATCCAGGCTCAGAGGTACCAGAGTGCTCAAAGCTGAGTCAGTTGGCCTGGGAAAGTGCTGATGAAGAGCACCTATTCTGTTCCAGGGATTCCTCGGTACTGTAGGCAGTCTAGGGCTCAACAGAAGAGAGCCCTTACATATTCATTCAGCTTTGGATGAAGAATGAGAGAAAAATAATAAATAAGGTAATTTCCATACTGACAGTGCTGTGGAGAAGCCAGTGTGAGTATACCACAGAGGGTGACATGGAGTGACAGGGGCACCACTCTAGGGTGCCTGGGGAAGTTCTTGCCCGGGGAAATTTCTTGCCCAGGAAAGTTCTTGCTAAAGGAGGCCCTCTGAGAAAGCCCAGAGTGATGAAGAAAAGAGAGTCATGGGGAAATTCTGGGGGAAAAACATCTGAAGCAGAAGAAGTGGAAGACATACAGGCCTAGAGACAGAGAAGGGAGTCGTGCTGAGGACAGCGTGTGATGGAGTGGAGGGAGTGGAAGTCTTGAGCAGTGAGGTTCCCACTGTAGGCTGTGGCCAAGAGTGTTGTCACCTAGATCCTTTCTCCCAGTGTGATAGAAAGTCACTGTGGGTTTTAAACAGGGATATCACATCTAATTTGCCTTTTAAAATTGCACTGGCTGCTTGGGGGGAAAACACTCGGATCCACAGGGAGGCGGAGATCCCAGAGGGGAGGCTGTTACTCCAGCCCCTCTAGTGATGAGCGAAAGCTGATGAGTTACTTCCATCTTGTAGAAGCAATGAGGCTCTCACACCTGTGGAAATGCAGGGTGCTGTGCACAAAATCCAGACATACTGAGTTTCTGAGGAATGAGGAATAAATGAAGAATAGCATAGTCAGAAAGTGTCGTGGAAAAGTAATGCTTTGAGGGAAATTTATAATTCATAGGAGAGGATGGGCAGGCAGAGGTCTCTTCCTAGCAAGGAACCCAGGACATCATTCCTTTTGAAACTGACCTATAACAGAACACATCTCATAGACTGTTTTCATTCTTTATTCTCCTTTATTTTTGGAAGCCCTTTGACTTCAGTGAGCCTCTACACCCTTTGGGGCTATCCCACTGCTTCCTTCATTGACTGAACCTCCTCAGAATGTGGGAAGCCCCATGCTGCCCTTAATTCTCTTTCTCGCCCAGAGAAAAGGTGGTAACCTTCTCAGTGTAACTATTTACCCTATAGGCATCTGGGCACCCAATCTCCACCACTCTCTAGCATCCCAGGTTCTTGGGCCAGAGGCTCTAAGCCAACAATTTGGCTCGTCCCCTTCACCCTATTACCTCAGAATCAGTTGGCTGCTTGACTTACTGCTAAGGTGGTTTTCAGAAGTCCGGTGAGTGTGTCACCTACCTGGTGGCAGCACAGAGCAGATGTCTCCTAATGTCCCTAGTTTCCTTCTCTACGAACTGCACTGGTATCTACAAAATGAGTCTCCCTCAGGCACCACATGTAACATGTTTCCTTGACCTATAGTAAGAATCCAGAAAGTTCTTTTAGGATATTCCAGGAAGTTAGAGAGAAATCACAGGATCATATTCTCCAGAGCGATCTTCCCCTAAAATGCGTGCTCTATGGCTGGAATCACTATGTCCCTCTCCTTGTTTCCCATTGACTCATTTCTCTTTGCCACATCCTTCCCTTGGCTCCTACATCGTGACTTAACTTCCACTTCCAAACTGGGTCCTGATATACTGCGTGGTACCCACCAAATTACTTCCCTTTCTAAACTCTCAAACTCTGCCTGGATCTGATTTTTTACCTCTATTTTCCAGAAGACTTTGAACTTGGGTGCAGTTTCTATCGCTTCTTCTCCACAACACCTGGCTAATGAAGAGAAATACCTGGCTCTGGGCCCTTGCTAACTTGCCAGCCGTCTGTTGTAGTCTCACATCCGACTCTGCCTTCGTGTGATTCTTAAATGCTATTCCTCTAAACCACCCAACGCAATCCTGTTCCCTTTCTTTACTAACCCACGTGAAGTCAGTTTAGGTTTCTTTATCCGCAAGTTCTGCATCCTTAGATTCAACCAACCACACATGTCTTATCATCATCCCCTAAACAATACAGTATCACAAGTATTTGTGTAATGTTTACATTATTTATATGTGGTATTATAAGTAATCTAGAGATAATTTAAAGTATGTGAGAGAATGTTTGTTTAGAGAATCATGATTAGTAGAGTGAGCAAGAACTACAAGATAGAAAGAATGACCTACAAAGCATTCACCAAGCCCCATAATGTATTATTAATAAGGAAACAATGGAGCTCTAGTGTCAAATCCAGGTTTGGGGGCTTAAATCCAACTCTACTACTTATTCTCTGTGCTAGGTAGACTATTTAAAGTCCCTGAGGGTTTTGAGGTATAAATTCACAGAAGTATGGCCCATAAAGCCCTTTAGAACAATTCCAGCACATGGTTAGGGCTCAGTAAATCGCAGGTGATTAGGATGATTGGGAATATGAAGATAGTAAGAACAGTAATGTAATTTATTAAATCTCCATCTATAGATAACACACTGGGCTAAGTACTTATCATTTACCTTCACAAAAACCCTGAAAGGCAGAAATTTATAAAACACACACACTCACACACACACTCACACACACACACACACAGAGAGGCTGTAATTGTCTAACTTCTATTAACTAGTAAGAATTGAGTTGATGCTCTAGTTTGCTGGTGTGCTGAAATAATGATTTATCTCTATGCTTTTGGCAAATCTTAGAGCTCACTGAGGAACCCAACCCAACCAGAGTAGCCTTGCTTCTGTCTGAATTATATGTTGAGCTTTAGCAGAAAATTTCCTTTATAAAAAAAACTGACTTAGAAAAGTTTGAAAAACATGGACTGTGCTTAACCCATCTGACTCTTGCAGTCAGCTATGTTCTGGAATACACAAAGAGATGCCTCCACCTCATGAAAAAGCCTCGAACCTATCATGGAAAATCACAGCCTACTACCACCTGCTTCATTGCCAATACTGTAATAATGGAATCTCTTTGCAGCCTTTGAGTGGATTATCTGGGTGATCTTACTGTTCTATCATCAAGTCTCAAGGTCCTGTATTCTCTTATATGTTGACAATGTTCAAGTTGATTCCTCAGTGAAATCCAGCGGACATTGTTGAAAATAGAGAAAATCATTGCAAAATATACTTGTAGAAAGTGAATAACATAGAAGATACTTCACTTAAAATTGGAGTCATTTCATTTAAACAAAAAGGCAGTTAAAAGTAAAATTATACTGCCTAATTTCAAATTTAGAAATTGGCCAGGGAACACCTTGGCCTCTTCTGTATCAAAGTGGTAGGGTCTTTCCCTGTGTTTATTTGCTCAATCCAGATTCCATTTCAGTATTTGAAAGCTGTGAACAGAGAAAACGGATTTCAGGAACAACATTTGGAATTCAACTCCTTGCTTCATTATGCATGAATGAAGACCCAAAGTCACATGACAGAGACAAAAAAATGAAACCTTGAAGTCTGCTCTGAACCACAGCATATGCATAGACTATGCAGATTTGTGTGAAAAAAAGATTCAACTTTTAGCCAAAATTATTCTCAAGAAAACCATCCCACTAGGTTTTATTTAGTAGCTATTCACGACTCATACATTTTTGTGTGCAAAGCTGGAGCCTTTTCTTCAAAAGGAAATAATTTTGCTAAAGAAGAAACAAATAAAATTAAAATCCTTTCCAATGCCATGAAAATCTGGCCTATTTTAATTGTTTCTTTGTTGAGCAAGTAATCAGTTTCCGTGGTATAACCCAAGTTGAATAAAGTTGGGCATTCCTGAAGAGGTTAAAGGATAAATGTCATTTCCTTTTGAAAGGAAAAAAGTTTGAAAGTATTTTCATGAGGGAGGGTGGGTTGCATAGATAACTTCAAATTGAAATTTGAGCAACAAACAGCTGCCATAATTGCAAGGATTGTAGATTATTAAAAATGGTGTCAAATTACCTCTTGAAAAATTGGAGAATGTGAACAGAAGGTAAACATGGACGGTACTTTTCTTTCCACCTGAACTCAGCTTCTCTAGTAGTTTAATTTTAAAGCATTAACTGATCAGAAGGTTTGCTATGGGATGTTCCCTTTCTTAACTATTCCAAGTTAAATAAAGAAAGACCCCTCCACATCAAAAATGATTTTAAACCATAAGAATAAAGCTGAAGAGTTCTGAGGAACTTTAAGAACCCAGTGCCCTCCGACACCAGCAATGTCCCTTAACACTCACAGTCAATCCCTGTCTTATTCGTTTCCCAGGAGAATGGAAGTGAAAGAGCATGCTACTGCTAAATGGTGCTCCTAACTTCACCAGCACTTTCTTCACTCCTAATGTCATTTAATAATTGCTTCTCTATTAATGATTATGTGCCAGAGTTACAGAATATATATCAGTTTTTTCAAATTAAAGTAGCAAGGGATATTTTACAAGTATATAGTTTGTAAGATGTGAGATATATATTATAGGTGTCCACTATTTTGCCTCTCCTCCAAACCAAATATATATATATATATATATGACTTGTTTCCACTTTTGATCACCTATATTCTTCTATGGACGTAAGATGTTTATCAAATGCATTGTGTCTCTATTTCCCTCATTGTTGGGACAAGATACCTGAAACCCACAGTTTAAGGAGGAGAGTTCTATTTTGGCTCACAGTCTGTAGAGGATTTTGGAGTTTGCTGTCTCCAAAATAGGACAGAATGGAACAGGGGCCTGGCAGAGAAAAGTTACTCACCTCATGGTGGCCAGGAAGCAGAGAGAACAAAGGGAGGAGCCAGGAAAAGACATACAGGTCACACCCATGGTGACCCACCTCTTCCACCTTAACCTTACCTGCCAACAGCAAGTCAGCTGTGAGTCCCTGTCATCCATCATCTTCCAAAGGTGCCTATGGTTGCAAGAGGCTTTAGGGGGACATCTACATATAAACCATACACATTGTTTTGTTAGCAATACTTATGGATAAAATAAAATTATGTCCTATTTCTTATTACCCATTGGCATAGTTTTCTCAAACTATTGAAAACTGTTAAATCTTTTAAACTTCACATTGCTTTAATTGATATACTAACATTGAAGCATTGGTGGGAAAACTTCCTGCTCTGATCAGCAATATGACTCTTCTGACCCAGTTTCCATGTGTATCTTGTCTGTTCCATAGAGCCTCTACCTACCCATCTGCCTTTTCTGCTCCAGAGGAGGATACAGAGCTAGACAGAGCAAGGCATAGACTAAATTATTTGCTCCTTGGTCACTGCATGTGCATACTTTTGTATTTTCTCTTATAAAACAATTCTTTAATCTCCACTGAATCAAAAAAGTGCATGCCGGGCTGGGGATTTAGCTCAGCGGCAAAAGCGCCTGCCTGGCAAGCGCAAGGTCATGAGTTCGGTTCCCGGTACCGGAGAAAAAACCAAAAAAAAAAAAAAACAAAAAAGTGCATGCCTTCTACTATTTTCTTGAGACTATCTCATTTCAAGAATGTTTGTCCTTCACAGATTATCTCTGGAAGACATGCTTTAGTCTTTCTCATAGTTGGCACATCTGGGTCATGCAGTTTGCATCTGTTGATTGTATTTTCCTTTGCTGGTTGTTAATATTTTCCTGATTCTTCATATGTCAAGTATTTTGGATTAAATTCTGGACATTTTTACACTATGCTATGAGGCTCTAGTTTCTTTTGAAAAGCTTCTCGAAAGTATTAGTTATTTGTTTGCTTGCTTGCTTCCTTTAGTAATTGCTACATCCAGTTTGCTTTGGACTCTGGTCTTAACCATCTGCAGGTTATATTTCCAGTATCAATATGGTACTCTCACCTTTTCTGTACTATCAGTCCTACTCAGTTCAGGTGCCATTTAAGGGTCAGTCTGGGACCTGGGTTATGGTCTACACTGTAGTTCAGTTTGCAGAGCCTTTGTTATATTCTTTCTTATCAATGGTTTGTGTGTACCAAAGATTTGGGAATGAACCAAAGACTTCATACACGGATTTAAAAGATTTCTTTCTCCAGCTACGTCCAATCTATGAATCTTCCCTGCCTATGTTCTGTCTCTCATGGTTTTTCCTGGTTCTAGCTAGATAACTATGGTTTCAGCATCCTTGTACTGTCATGAATCTCTGCAGCTGGGTCTACCTCAAGGCAAAGTGGCAAGAGAAATCAGCTTGAGGAGCCTTTCTTGCTGTAGCTGTAATCCCAACTCCACCTCCATTGCTGCAGCTATTATCCCTGTGGAGGAAAGTCACTTCATTGCTAGGACATTCTTGAGAAGAGCTCAAAGGCACAAAAGGTCTCAGGGGCTCCTATCTAAGTCATTTGCCCCAAGACAGAAGGATTTTCCACAGCTGTTTCTGCTTATACCTGTTGCCTAGTTTCAAACTTCAAGCTTCTCCATGCGTTAGGGCACATTCATAACGCTCAGCCTCCTGCCCAACTCAAGACCTGCTGGATAACTTAATGAGAATTTGTCTTAAAATTTTGAAAAATAAAAAAGGCTAGGAACATACCTCAGTGCATACATCCGGAGTTCAATCCACAGTACTACCAAAACAAAACAAAACAAAAAGCTGCCCCAGAAATAAGGGAGAAGGAAAAAAGAGGCAGAAAGAAATGCATTTCTATAGGTGTTTTTCATTTGGCTCCTCAATTGTCCTATTAATTACTTGAAGAGTCCTCAGATTGTTGCTTTATATAGTCTGTTCAAGACTTGCAGGTGTAATCAATGCAAAAAATTGGGCAGCATGTACTTACTCCTCCTAACAAAAACCAAAATCAAACAACCTATTTTTTCCAATTCTCACTTATTATGGTAAAAAAAAAAAATAATGTAGTACTTGCTTACCATGTGGTAGATGCTATGCTAAACATTTTGTATGCATGATTTACATATAAAAATAAGAATTTAAAGTAATTATTATTATTATCATCCTTTTAAAGATGGAGAAACAAGCTTAGAGGGGTTAAGTGGTCATTATCACACAATTGGAAAATGAGGTATGACCCCCAGATTGAACCAGAGCCAGATTCTGAGTCACTGTAGCCACTGTAGCCATAACCAGCTCCGTTATGCAACCTGAGCTGGGCTACAGCTGCAAACAATTTGATTATAGGTATGGATCAGGCAGTAGTCATCTCTGAAACCTATGTTTTTCTAGCTTTCAGCATTGATTAGGTCAGGTTGGAAGATGTACTTATGCAAAAGGCAGGTTGAGATTTAATATTGCTTTGTGTTGGTTATTCGGCAGGTGTTTGTTTAAAGGAAGTGAAAACAGGTGTGTGGGCCTTGATTCAATTACATGATGGAGAGGACACACTGATCCATGGCCATTTTCAAGGAGAGATGCTGATTGTGCTAATTAATCATGTGTCTGTCAGAACAAAATAGAACGTAATAGAAAATGATGTTCCAGTTGCCATATGTATGGAACACAGACTCTTGTGCCGGGCTCTCCCAGCAAGCAGACACAACTGTTTATGATGACAGCAACAAAGATGCAGTATCTGGCTCCTCCCTGATTACCATATATGAGATGGTTTAAAGAAAGGGTGTTTTATAAACTCTTGCCAGCAGCATGGGACCTCGTCCAACAGGAATCGCCTCTCAAAGGAACCTTTCCTTTCAAAGAGATTAATTGAGTCTTTTAGATCATGTGGGTATCCTTGAGATATGGCTGGAAGGGACATTTTCTATTCTGTGTGTTGGAACGTTCAAGCTACTTCACCTGATCAGACTTTTATGTTCATAATGGGTACCACAATGGTATTTAACTCATTCCCTAATTTGTCTGCTTGCTACTGAACAGCCATGCTGGCCTTTTAAGAACATAAATCAGGTATACTGATCTTCTACTTAAAAAACCCCAGTGATTTCTCAGAGATTTATGATTAAATCTCAACTCCTGTCCACGATCAACAAACCTGTACATCACCCAACTCCCTGTGTCTCTGTCTGATCTTACTTCACACCTCTCTACCTCTCTGTCTCTGCCCCCCACCTCCTGCCTTGTTATGAAGTTCATGGATCTTGCCATTTCCTAAACATATTAAAGCCACTCTCTATCTCAGGTGCTCTTCTTGTGTCTGTTCCTTCTTTGGATTTGCTTTCAACTTTCCTCAGATATTCACATAGCTGACACCTTTTCTAGCAGATCTCTGCAAATGTGGCTTCCTCAGAAAACTTGCTTGACAAGTACACTGGTCTCACGACACTATAACAAAAACCTGAGATAATTGATTTCTAAGGAAGGAAAGCTTATTTTGGCTTGCAGCTTTGGCAGTTTCAGTCCATGATTAGCTAGCCTCATTAGTTTTGGGGGAGGTAGCACATGGCAGAAATATGTGGGTGAGCACAACTACTTCCCTTAAGGTTGGCAAGAAAAAAAAAGAGAGAGAAAAAGAAGGTGCTGCAGTCCCACAACCTCCTTCAAGTCGTGTTCCTAATGACCGGAGGACCTCCCACTAGGTCTTGCCTTTTAAAGGTTGCACCACCTCCTAATCATGCCAAGTTGGGAGCCAAACCTTCATTCATGGGCTTTTGGGTGGTGTTTGATATCCAAACTATAGCAACCTATCCAAATAGGACATCTTTCTATACCTCTTCATGTTGTCTATCCACTTACCCCACTTTCTTCTCTTTATAGCTCTAGGCTTCTGGATGGAGTAGAGAGGAGGTAATGGAGGAAATTATTTGCTGGATTGAGACTCCTTTTCTCCTGAAGTGTCTGCATCCAAAAACATTCTACATTGCTGCATTAGAGATTGCATTTCAAAAGATCTTGTCTTAGCATCCAAAAAGTTGTAATGAGTGTTACGCTTAACAATAAAGAGAAACTACATAAAAGTTGTAATGTTTGTAAACCTATGGAAGATCTGAGATCATAAAACAATCAAGTAAATTGAAATCCAAGGAGCTACACATTCCACCTCTTCATGGTTGGTTTTTGTTTGTTTTGTGTAGATGTAGGCTATTAATTTTTGCATTTTGATATCATGACATGCCCCCCAAAATATTATCTTGTTTTAATTGTTTAATTAATATATGTTTATAGTACGTAATGTTTATAATCACCTTAGGGGTATGCACATGTACTTATCATATCTTAATTTTTTTTATTCCCTTTCCTGTCCCCTCCATCTTTCTGCCTCTAAATCCCCCTCCCATTTGCAAAAGATCTGCCTTCCTGTTTCCTATTAGTTTGTTTTTAATATTCCAAGAAAAAAATTACCACTTGTTATCCCTCATGAATGTCAGAGCCAATATTTTTGAGTATATTAGTAACCTTGGTTTTCATTAGATAAAAAGAATAGCAAATCATGATAAAGTAGGGTTTGTCTTGATAATAATAGGTTGGTAGACTGTTTAAAAATAAATTAATGCAATTCATTATATTAACAGACTATTAACAGAATAAAGGAAACAAATATAATCATCTCAACAGATTTATCATTCCAATTTTAGTATATGTGCTGCTGAAGTGAGCACTATCTCAACAGATTTAGAAGAAACATCTGATAAAATTTACATTCTAAATCTCTATCAAAAGGATTACAATTAATTTCTACCAAGTTGATAAAGGACATGTACAAAAATCTGCAGCTAAGGTTACCACTAATGGTAAAATTATTAGATAGAGGTTCTAAGATAAGGAACAAGGCAAGGATAGCCGCTCTCACCTCTCCTATTCAGTATTTTACCGCACATTCTACATAGTTCAAAAAAGAAAGAAGAGTAAATGGGAGGTGTACATACTGTAAAAACATGAAATTCTCTGCTTGCAAATGATATTATTGTCTACATAGAAAATACCAAGGAATCCACAAAAGAGCTACTAAAAGAATAAGTATATCAAGATTGAAGAATATGGGGTGAAGCTATAAAAGCTGTATTTATACATACCAGTGAATAATGAAAAAATTCCACCAGAAATTTAAAGTTTTTAGATATAAACCTAACAGATATCTGGAAAATTTTACTGAAAACTGTAACACATTGGTGATTAAAATAATTAAGGTGACCTAGGTAATTGAAGAGAGATAATGTGTTTATAGATTGGAAGAGTTAATAGTAGTAGTATGCAATACTCTGTATATCCAAATTGGACCCTTTATCTGAGTGAATTCAGGTACAATAAAATATCCAAGTAATATTTTAAAGGAAACTGACAATCATTTTCTAAAATTTACAAAGGAAAACAAGAACTACAATGGCCAAGATTATTTTAAGTAAGGAGAATAAAAGAGAAGGACTCAAACTCCTTGATTTCAAGACTTTTCATAAAGCTACCATCATTAGTGAACTATGGTTGGCAAAAACACAAGGTGATTATTGCAATAGAAAAAAGGCAAAAAATTGACTCACACATACAGTCAATCCTTATTATTAATGCATTCTATATTTGAAAATTTGTTTTTTGAGGGCTTTCCCCTGAGAACTTGTCCTTATATAAGCCCCTTGTCAAAGAAGAATAACTGAATATCCAGAGTTCCAGTTTTCAATAGGAGAAGCCACACTAGTCCTGAAAATGGGTCTGTCAGAACTTCTGGCTTGACAAAGTGCAGAAGTACTAGTAGCAGAGGATTTATCTAGAATACGATAGCAGAAATTGTCATAGTGAGGGATATAGGGAGCTGGATATGAGGTCTAGGGTTGGAGCAGATGCAATTCATTGAAAACACAGAAAAAAAAAGACCCCCTCACCTAGTAGGGGTAAAAAAAAGTTCCCAAAGTCATCTGGTTGGAGGGTTGGGGAAATAGGAACACGGATTTTAGAGCAGGGCTCTAAGGTGGGATCTGCTTACAGGAGAAGCTTAGGTAGTAAAACATTGGGGCACAAAGTGTGGTCCTACGAGAAGCAGACGCTGACTGATGTCTGGTTGACTCATTGACCCACATTTCTTTTAATTCTCCTTCCTTGTAGTTATAAGAGCAGGATTAGGCCCATAATCTGGAGTGACAGTAAATCACTGGGGAGGAGTCATTAGCCCTAATTTAGAAAGTTAACAGGACTCTGAAGTCTAAGAATATATCAAAAGCAGAGTGTTCCAAATGACTACGTTTCAAGGAACTTCTCGCATTTTTTTACAATAATTTTTTGCTGTTTTACTAATTTGAATGATTGATTTATTCAATAAAAAGTCATTGGGTACATAGTCTATGTCAGGCACTATTCTCCATAGGTTCTCAAAAACACAAAACAATATAAATAAGGTCTTATTTTCATGTAGTTTACATTCTGGTGGTTGGGAGCAGAATGGAAACAGCCTAGGCAAGTAAAAGCAATGAAAGCAGTACAATTTTAAATAATATTGTGTTTTTATATAATCAATAAATTAGATAATATTATAGTGCCCATGGGGATTTTACAACATCAGGTCATCAAAGCAGGCCAGCTGTACCATTGGGGCATGGACCAGAATAATGAAATTAAGCCAATGACAAGTTAACAAGTGTTAGTTAGTATAGATGCAGTGAAATTGAAACCCTTTTACATTGCTGACAGGAAGACAAAGTGGTTGCAGTGACTTTAAAAAACAATTTGTCAAAAAAAAATTTAAAAAAAAATTTGTCAGTTGCTCAGAAATGGCAAGCATAGTTACTATAGTTACCATAGTCACTTGACTTAGCAGGTCTATTCCTGTCTACTTAAGAAAATAAAAATTTATGGCTACACAAAGAATTAATGTTAATGATCATAAAAGCATTTTTACAATAGCCAAAAAGTGAAAAAACACAAGTCTCTATCAACTGATGAATGGATAAACAATGTATGGTCTATCCATACAAAGGAATATTCTACAGCAATAAAAAAAGAATGAAGAAATGACCTGCTAAACATGGATAAACCACAAAAACACTATGCTAAGTGAAGAAAACTAGACACAAAAATGTTACACATTTTATGATCCCATTCATATAAAATTTTCAATATTGTCATATGTACAGTCAGAAAGTACCTTAACAGTTGTCTAGGATTGAGGAATAGGGTGAGGGAAGTTGGTAGTGCTGCTGTGGGTACAAGGTTTCTTTCGGGGATGATGGAGATGTTATAAAATTAGATGGTTGCACCATTCCCTAAATATATGATAAACCAAAAAATTGCATCCTTTAATCATATTATAAGTAAATTATATCTCAATGAAGTACTAAAAAATAAGACAACCATAAGTGAACATCAGAAGATGGGATCTTTTCAGAGGGGAACCAGCAACTACAACCCCCTAAGCCAGAAATGAATTTGTTCCACTCACATAACAGGGAGGAAATCAGTAAGGTTGAAATCAACTGAAGAATTAGGGGCCACATCAGATATGCTGTATGTATTAGTCAGTTTTCTGTCATTATTACAAACATAATGAGTTAAACTTAAAAGAAGGAAAGGGCTTTATTTTGGTTCACAGTTTCAGGGCTTTCCATCCATGGTTCCTTGACCCTGCCTCTTTTGGGCCAGTGCAAGGCAGAACACATGCCCAATGCACATGGTAGAGAAGAACTGTTCACCTCGTTGTATCCAGGAACCAAAAGGAGAGAGGATGGGGGCTGGGTCACAGTATTCCCTTCAGGACACACCCCGATAATCTAATGTCTTTTGGGTGCGCCCTGCTCCTTACAGGTCTGCCACCTCCTAGTAGCACCACAGTCTGGTGATCAAACCTTTAACACAGGGCCTTTGAAGGGTGCTCAAGACCCAAAGTCAACTATCTAATAAGCTGTGGTGGGGACTCTGGGTTTTATTTAGAATGTAATAATGAGCCATTGGAAGGTTTGAAGCAGGAGAAGCATGAGGTGTGCATTTTAAAATTAGTCTGTCTTCCTTCTGGGTAGTTCATTCAGGTTATGTGAAGTGAAGCAAGGGGGACAGAACAGGAGCTATTCCAGTCAAATGAGACATTCAGATTTTTTTCTTCTTTTTCCCTTCCCTTCCCTTCCCTTCCCTTCCCTTCCCTTCCCTT